TTATGTTGTAAATCTCTAAATTGTATGCTAGTTAGGGTTCATGCTTTAGAAAAATGAAAATTACACGTATAACTTGAGAAAACTTAGATCCAAAGCATTAGGGTTTTATGTGCACCATAGGATTGTTATAGTACTCAAAACCCATCAAATGATCGGTTGCGGTGTGAAGTTGTGAGTCGTTAGGAGGTATGCTCGTCCATTCTATGAGAAAGTGTTGCCTTTTTAGGGGAATCGTTGTTTGTGTTACAGTGTTAGTTTCAGAGGTTCAACCCGACGACTTCCCAATTTTGGAAGATTATCATGAAATGATGGGTTATGTTATTTGGACATGGAGACCTTCTGACCTTGTAATTCTAAGTCGTGAAGCAAAGGTGTTTGGGATAGAAAGATGTAGTGACATCTCAAATGAAATAGGGACTGGATTTGGAAAATCTATTCGAGGAATTGCAAGAAACATATCTAAAGTGTTTCGCCAAGACTGATTTCAACAACGAAATCCAGATAAGTGGGGGATAGTTATAACATATGTGTTTTTAAATTTATTTTTATGAGTTTTTCAGGGAAATCGAGAATAGGGTTTTGAAAAAAAAAAAACCCTAGATAACGACTCGTAAAATGGAGTGTTACAGTGCATGCCACGTCACAAGTTGCGATGCGACCATGTATAGATTGTGACGTAAAGTCGCAATAAGCCCAAACCCTAATCTTGAGCCTTATTCAATGACACTAACTTCTAAGGTTTCCCTTATTGCTCAACCTCGAACCCAGAAACCCTTCACTTCTAAAGCCCTAGTGTCCTTTTCCTTCTTTCCTTGTGTTTGATACCTTAAAGAGAGAGATTGAAGAGTTGGTTGCTAGTTTGTGTCAGGAGAAGCAAACTCCATAGACTTTCTACCTTCTTGTGGCCTCCTCAAGTTGTGTTAGTGATCAAGACTCAAGCTTTTTAATTGATTGATCTTATATCTATCATCTTGTTGGTTTTTGGTCATTTATGTCGTGATTTATATGGATTTTGGAGAACTTCAGGTCCAAAGATGATTTTGATTGATGTTTTGCGACCATTATGTCATTTTGAAGGCATTTTGGACTTCCTTTTTGATCCATGCATGAGATTGTTAGCTTTTTGGACTATGTTAAACCTAGGGCTTGAGTTCTTGCTTGTTTGGCACTTGTGAATGGATAAAGTTGATAAGAACCTTGTGTAGATAAGATCTGAGAATGTTAGCCTCTGACTTGTTGGATTAAGCATTTAATGGAATAAGTACTCTTCCTTGGAAAGCACGGGACGACCATGGAATGGGCGTGACATGAGCCTTCATCCAGATTTGCGACTATTTTGTCGCCTAGTAATTGTGACGCGACCAGGAGCTGGGTTGCGACACATTAATCGTTGACTATTAACTTTCAACCATTTTGACTTTTGTTCAAACTTTATTGGATGTCAGTATTAGACTGAGGTTTAGTCTTGATTTGGTATCAGTTGGTTTTGCTAGTTGTTTTTTTGCAAAGTTTGTTGTTGGGACACTGCTAGTAGACTCAGGCGAGTTTTCTCATTGTACTATGTGTGACATTGTATGTGTAGTGTAATAACTTTTATGGGTGTTGTTAGGGTATTATTGTATGTTTAGGTTGGTTAATTTGTTTTTTATTATGTGTAGGATCATAGGGGAAGTTGGTTGTAAGCCTTCAAGTCCACTAGGAGATGTAGTTGGAAGTTCAACAGGTCTTTAGGATGATGGTCATGTGCTTATAGGTCTACTAAGATTTTGACTATAATCTAATGATTATAGGAATTTTAACAGGTCTTTGGGATGATGGCTTTATACCTATAGGTCCATTAAGGTGTTGATTATAAATCAAATGGAAGTCTATGTCAGATGGAAGTATAACAGGTCTTTGGGATGATGGATATAAGCCTATAAGCCTATGGAGGTGTTGACTGTGAGCCTTTATATATATATATATATATATATATATATATATATATATATATATATATATATATATATATATATATATATATATTGTATATGTGATGTTATATGTGGTATATTGAGGAACTCACTAAGCTTTATGCTTATAGTTATGGATTAAATTTTTTTCAAGTTGTTATGTTGTAACATCCCAATTTCAGGTATGTTTATTATTGTTTTTATTTTTATCAAAAGTTACATAATTGATCCCTTAAGGAAAAGGTTTGCATTTTTGGTCGTACGTAGGGCGTACTTAAGAGTACGCGCAGCGTACTTGTGCAACATGAAATCGCAGATGATCTGCTAGTATGTTGGGTGTATGTGTGGTACGCCCGACATACTAGCCCATACTCCAAACCCTAATATTAAGGGTTACTCTCTATTTAAACAACATTATATCCCCATTTGATCATCCTTATCAGCCACCATTCCCTCCCCAAACCCTAAATCCAAGTCTCAGTTGTTTGTGTGAATTTTGTGAGTTTACTGAGTGTTTTGGTGCATTTTGTTGATGAAAGAGTCTAGAGAAGAATAAGTGTTTGCTTGCAAGCTTGTAAATCCAGGAACCTTTCCACCTTGTGCATCTTTTTAAGGTATAAAGTTTATACCTTGATGTGTTTTCTATTTGATCTACATGGTTGAAGTTTTATGAGTTTTTGTCCCCAAGATTGGACCTTTATGATTTTGGAGCACTACAGGGAATTGTAGCTATCTCTTAATGCATTTTAGGACCTGTAGATTCATAAAAATGGGTGTTTGATCACTCCTTATGGCTCATGCATGAGTAAAGTACCTTAGAGTGTGTTAGAACTTAAGGTTTGTTGCATTGAGTCCTTCCTATCCATGCAAAGGCTTAAAGTCAACGACTTTATGGACTAAGACATCTTAGATGGGTCAGATCTAAGGTTTGGTTAGTTGTCTTAAAGGATTAAGACACAAAGTTAGTGAAAAAGGAAGTAGATTGAGTACGTTGGGTGTACTCCTAGCTACTCCCCGTGTAGCCGGTTCGCCCCCCGATGGCTTCTGATTGAGTTGTACGCCCAACATACGCGCTAGGCAATTGACTTTCATTGACTTTTTGACCTTTGGTCAAGATTTAGGGTTTTGGACCATGTGAAGGGCAAAATGGTATTTTTTCCCTTAGAGGACTTAGTTGTGGGATATGGACTCTCGAATATAGTTTTAGACCTTAATTATTAATTAGGGTTAATTATTCCGTTAACTAAGCGGAGTCTAGTTCCGGCAGTTCGGGGTGTGAGATTTACTTGTCGACGGTGTCAGGTGAGTCTCTTTACTTATTCTTACATGTGTGGTAGGATAGTTGTATCTGTGACGACCAGTTGGGTCTAGTTATTATTATTATGTTATGTTGTTTGTATGTGACTAAGACTGTTGATAGTCTCCAGGGTTACCGATAACCCATTGAGCATGCTGTTAGCCCATTGGGACTACTGACAGTACCTAAGGTTGCTGATAACTCATAGTTGTTTATTTGTGTTATGTTGTGTGTGGTGTTTTGGGGAACTCACTAAGCTTTGTGCTTACGGTTGTTGATTTATGTATTACAGGTACTTTTGAGGACCGCAAGAAGGCGAATGTCTGATTGTACACACTCGTCGGGGGATTTGTTGTTGAGACAGTTTATGAACTCTTACATTCTGTGACAATGTTGTTTTGAATAATTATATATATTTGAGAACTTGATTTGTCAAACCCTAATCTTTGTTAAATTAAAAATGAAAAAATGGTTTAAAATTAAGGTGTTACATTTGTTGTTAGGAGGAAGGTCCAACTTGATTGTACCGCGGTGCATCACTGTTGATTTATGAATTAGATTTATGTTAATTTTATTATGTTACTCTGTTTTGGAAATTATATTTTACAATTATTGGACAAAAATGCTTTTACATTACTTTTAGGAGCACAATATGACATTATATTATATTTTTAAGACGAAAATTTTGATTTGAAATTTGAGACCCTACATATTTATGCTACATTAATAAATGAACTTTGTTTGCCTTTTTATTATAACACCGAAATTTAATAAAAGTAGAAGTTAGAATAAGTCAAAAAAAAGTAAGGTTAAATCCCATGTGATTCGATTAACAACATACAATATAACTGTATTATGAACCATATTATTTACAATATTAATAAAATATTTGATATTAGTGTAGTCAATAATTTGCATAATTAAGTGATAAATCTGATTAGTATGTCATATGGACTTTGAAACCACCAACTTAAGCAACATATAGAGGTTGATATCCTTGGTTAAATCTACACCAAAACATGTATAATCTGAAGTAACTTAATTCATAAGGTAGTTTTTTAGTACCATTATCCTCCACTACAAATACATACTCTAAAAAACTAATTACAATTCAATTTAAATAATAAAAATCTAGACATTAAAGTCCTCTAAACAATATGTAAACCAATCACACTACAAAATAGAACAAGAAATTACATACGAAAGCTTTTTTTGTTATTCCTGAATATCACTTTACAATAATATAGATTATAAACTGTATATGAGTCCGAAATGCACAATCATAGTCTAAAACGTAGCACCTTTACGTCAAATCTCACTAACCACCCACCCATTCCAAAACACTCATAACTAATCCGAAATTGGGGATTCCAAAAGAAAGTTGTCATTTTTTCAAATTCTAAAACAAATAAATTATACTTGTTAATTTACTCTTTTCTAAAGGTTCAATGGCTCTAAAATTAACTGTCTTATAATTCATTTACATAAAATACCAACTATAGTAACAATAGAATTAATGAATTATTATTGGTCTCACGTGTGTGGCGTATTCGTGTAACAATTTGAAATGGGCTCACGTCGAGTACTCAATTATTATGTTTCCCACAAACAAAGGTGAAACATCCTTGGCACAACATAATGCTAACTTTCATAATATTCCTTTCTAGAATACATGTAAACACTGTTTTCACAAATGGCAGCATTTTCAAAAAAAAAAAAAAAAAAAAAAAAAAAAAAGTTAAAATAGATAACTACTATGTTAAAAACAGTAATATAATTAGTTAATTACAATAATGATAAGTTTATAACTTTATAGATATATTTTGATACTTCACATAGAACAATGTGTTAACTAGTTGACTTCACTTAAAGTCTTTAAACATAACCATAGTTTCACATTTCCAAAAATAAAAACCGGAATCAGCGATTCCGTTACTCATCCAAGGCAGTGATTCCGGACTTCCTAAGCCGGCATACTCTTTTCCGATGATTCCGGCCTTGTTTATGTTGTTCCCACTCATATCCCCCTCTAAGCACCTTATTCCCACATGCCTACAAGTAATATATATTTTCAGAAACTGAACAAATTACATTTTTTTTTTTAACCTGAAATACATAAAATCTAACCTTGCATATGTGTTGTGTCCATAAATCTCTTTCATTTAATTTTAATCCTTTAATACCATTTGTTGCATCAAAATTAGGGACCAAATTTATATCTTTTTCAAAACAAGATTTTATTATCTGGATTGAAGGCCCAACCACATTTGTAGTCCATGACTCTTCTGTAAAACCTGAAAATAAAAACAAACCTAATATCATTAAGAAGTTAAGATGAATAGATCTTCACTTTCCTTTTCAAGAATTGAAAATTACATATTTGCCCTTTATCATACATGAAAGACATTCTGTTGCATCGACATAATGTATGTTCCACCCAAACAATGTCTGGAGCCGAATAAGCCTTCTTTTCTGGAAAAATAAGAGAATTACATCTTTTAAATTAATAACAATTATATATGTATGATTATTAAAAAATATTATTTTAATTTTACCTGTCTTCGAACAAGTCTTCTGGTATTTAATTTGACTTTATCAATTGCATCTTGAAGAAGCTCTTTCTCACCAGGGGTACTCAAGATTTCATTCATGTTTAATTTTGACTTGTCAATGGGACTCTCAAAATTACCATTTTGCCCTTTGGAGAGATAAGTTTTTAAAAAGACCTCAAACTCCCTGACACCGATTGCTTGGCGTAAGCCTCGAGTGTAATCAGCATCAGGGTTAAAAATGTCATAAACTTCTAGAAGTAAACCTGAATCGATCATTTGATCTACCCTTTTGTCCACATATTTGTCTATAACATGGAGAGAAGCATCCACACATATAAAACAACAATTGTATCTCAAATTATCTGCATTTCCCCAGTTCTGTTCTGACATATACAAGATTATAACTCAGTCAAGTAAATAATTGCAAAAAATAGCATTCTACTTTCAGTTTGTATTTAAATGATATTGCTATAATAAACAAATCAATCAAAGTATGTTGCTATTTCTTGTATTTAACCTGTTTGGATTATTCAAGTATTGTTTTGGAAGAATATGGGATACTAACCTCCATAGTCTTTTCCTGAAGATATTTGCTAGGAAGAACACCAGAGGAAGCGTATATATGAAGGTACTGATTAATCTGCAATATGGAAATATTAATTATTATTGAATGTTTATGAAAGATTTGCAAAATTAAGGACTTTTGAAAGGATGCCACTTAGTCCTTACCTTTCTTTGGTCATTTGGATGGATTCTATTTGCTGCAACTGGATCAAGATCTTTAAGATTATCATAACTATAACTAAAATTCTCTTGTTCTTGCATAAGTTCATTAGGTTGTTGTTTATCTCCTGTTCATCGGTAATTGACTAATTTCATGTCTGATTGTTAAAAGAGTGGATAAGAGTTTGAAGTAAAAAAATGTTGTTTACCATATGTTTCATCTAAGCTGAGTTCATCAGTATCCACAGGTGAATCATCTAAAAGAAATCGACTCACAAGTGCCTGAAAATAGCAAGGAGAACAAGGAACAAAACTACATGTTACACTACATTTAGAGATTGAAATTCTATAAGCTTTAGATCTTAATGAAAACACTAAGTAATGTTATACCTGAATATAGTAATTTGTGCCTCCAACAATGACTGGCAAATGATTCCTGGATGTTATGTCGTTGATAAGCTGAAAGTAGCAAACTTGTTATGATCACAAGGACATTCAAGTGGAAAAATATGGAGAAACAATCATAAAATATCAATGAAGCATTAAAGTGACAATCTTTGTTTATTATGTAGAGAGGATAAGTACTCACGGAAATTGCAGAATCCCTAAAATCCTTTGCAGTGAACTCGACCGTAGGGCTGATTGTACCCAAGAGATGGTGTGGCACTCCTACATAGACAGAGAATCACAGATGATTAGTGATGATACATTGAGGAAGAAAGAACGAAGACATTGTATGGTGAAATGATATGGATGTTTGATCAATTTGTTTTCATGCGAGAAATCAATCGAACCTTTCTGATCGTGAAGTGGAACTTTATTAGTGAGAACATCCAATCCTTCGTACACCTAATCAAAGAGTTCACGAGACAAGAACAAATAAGGTAATACCAATACATATATGTCCGTACTTGTGTGCTTGTATGCTTGTGTTCAAACCTGCATGGAATCGGCGTTAATGATTTCGATAGGGAATTGTGAAGCTAGGTCAATGGCGAGACGAGATTTTCCAGAACCTGTTGCTCCCATTATCACTACTACTTTTGGCTTGGAATTCGAAATTTTTGGGTTT